TTTTCCACCACACTTTTTCAATGTTTTTCCGATTTCTCAGCTTTTCAAAACTTCAATTTTGGAAATTTGTCGATTTTTCTACCTTTTGACGTCTCGATACTTGACTTTTTCAATATTTCGATTTCTCGCTTTTTCGATTTTTCCATTTTTCGAATTTTTTAATTTTGATTTTTCGATTTTAGAATTTCTGATATTTCGACTTTCGACATTTCGATTCTTGGATTTTTCGAAATCTCGATTTTCGATTTCTCGTTTTTAATTTTTCAGTTTTTCGATTTTTCAATTCTTCGTTTTCCTTTTTAATTTTTAGATTTTTTTATTATTTAATAATCCCATGTTTCGATTTCTCAGCTTTTCAACACTTCAATTTTGGGAATTTTTCCATTGCTGGATTTAAACAATTTTCGACTTCTCTACTTTTCGATTTTTCGATGTTTCAATAGTTCAATTTTCCGATTTCGAATTTTTTTAATTTCGATTTTTCAATTTTAGACTACGATTTTCCACTTTCCATATTTCAATTCTGGGATTTTAAGACTTTTGAATTTGGGTTTTCGTTTCATCGGATTTTGGATTTTTCGAAACTTGATTTTTTAAATTTTCGTTTTTTCAATTTTTCCATTCTTCAATTTTTAGACTTCCTCAATTTTTTTATTTTCCGATTTTCAATTTTTCCTTTCTTGAGTTTTTCGATTTCTCAATTGTCTTACTTTTCGATATTTTGATTTCTCGAGCTTTGATTTTTCAAATTTTCAAATCAAATCTTCGGCTTTTTGATTTTTCATTTTTTTTTTATTTTTCGATTTTCCACCACACTTTTTCAATGTTTTTTCGATTTCTCAGCTTTTCAAAACTTCAATTTTGGAAATTTGTCGATTTTTCGACCTTTTGACGTTTCGATATCTCGATATTTGAATTTTTCAATATTTCGATTTCTCGGTTTTTCGATTTTTGAATTTCCGATATTTCGAATTTCGATTTTTAGACTTTTGAATTTTCGGTTTGTTTACTGTTTCATCGAATTTTCTCTTTTTCGATATTCGAATTTTCAATTCATTTCATTTTCAATTTTCCGATCCTTAATTTTTTAAATTTTCGATTTTGGATACTCGAATTTTCAATTATTCAATTCTTCAGATTTTAAGACTTCAAGACTTTCACTTTTAGACTCCCAAATTTTCAATTCAAATTTTCGGTTTTTCGATTTTTTAATTTCCGGAGTTCTCGATTTTTAATTTTCGAATTTTTTGACTTTACGGAAGATTTTTAAATTTTTTAGATTTTCGACCTCTCGATTTTTCGATTATTCCATTTCCCGATTTTTAGTTTTTCAGTTTTTCGATTTTTCGTTTTTTTACTTTTAGATTTTTTAATTCTATTTATTAATTTCTCGAGTTCTCGATTTTTCAATTTTCGAATTCATTTACTTAGCGGAAGATTTTTCAATGTTTTCGATTTTCGACCTATCGATTTCTAGTTTTTAATTTTTCAGTTTTTCGATTTTTATATTTTTTTCAATTTTTTTTAGATTTTTCGGTTTGTCGATTTCTCGACTTCTTTACTTTTCGATTTTTCGACCTTTTGATGTTTCGATATCTCAATGTTTCAATTTTTCAATATTTTTATTTCTCGGTTTTACGACTTTTCCATTTTTCGAATTTTTTAATTTCGATTTTTCAATTTTAGAATTTTCGATTTTTTTGTTTCACCAAATTTTCGATTTTTCTAATTTTGATTTTTTAAGACTTTTCAATCCTACTTTTTTTATTTTTCGATTTTTTAATTTCACAAGTCCTCGATTTTTCTAATTTTTTGACTCAACGGAAGATTTTAGAATTTTTTCGATTATCCACTTCTCGATATTTCGATTTCTCGTTTTTTAATTTTTCAGTTTTTCGATTTTTCAATTCTTCGTTTTCCTTTTTAATTTTTAGATTTTTAATTAATCCCATGTTTCGATTTCTCAGCTTTTCAATACTTCAAATTTGGGAATTTTTCCATTGTTGGATTTTAAAATTTTTCGACTTCTCTACTTTTCGATGTTTCAATGGTTCAATTTTCCGATTTTGATTTTTTTTTAAATTGGATATTTCAATTTTAGACTTTCCGATTTTCCACTTTCGATATTTCGATTCTTGGATTTTAAGACTTTTGAATTTGGGTTTTCGTTTCATCGGATTTTGGATTTTTCGAAACTTAATTTTTTAATTTTCGTTTTTTCAATTTTTCCATTCTTCAATTTTTAGGCTTCTCAATTTTTTTACTTTCCGAATTTTTTGACTTTACGGAAGATTTTTCAATTTTTCCGATTTTCGATCTCTCGATTTTTCGATTCTTCCATTTCTCGATTTCTCATTTTTTAATTTATTAGTTTTTTTTATTTCCATTTCTTCGATTTCTCGGTTTTTCGATTTTTCCATTCTTCGATTTTTTTTTAATTTCATTTTTCGACTTTCGATATTCCTTTTTTTCCATATTTCCATTATTGGATTTTTTGAATTCTCGATGTTTCAATTTTTCAATACTTCGATGTTCCGTATTTTTCGAATTTTTAACTCTCATATTTCGATTTTTCAATTTTTCCATTCTTCAATTTTTAGACTTCTCAATTTTTTTACTTTCCAATTTTTGATTCTTCAAATTTTCAATTCAAATCTTCGGCTTTTTGATTTTTCATTTTTTTTACTTTTCGATTTTCGATTTCCATTTCTTCGATTTTTCAATTTTTCGATTTCTCGGTTTTTCGATTTTTCCATTCTTCGAATTTTTTTTTAATTTCGATTTTTCAATTTTAGAATTTTCGATTTTCGATTCTTGGATATTCAGACTTTTGAATTTTCGATTTTTTGTTTCACCAAATTTTAGATTTTTCGAATTTTGATTTTTTAAGACTTCAATTCTTCTACTTTTTTTATTTTTCGATTTTTTAATTTCACAAGTCCTCGATTTTTCTAATTTTCTGACTCAACGGAAGATTTTAGAATTTTTTCGATTATCCACCTCTCGATATTTCGATTTCTCATGTTTTAATTTTTCAGTTTTTCGATTTTTCAATTCTTCGTTTTCCTTTTTAATTTTTAGATGTTTTATTATTTAATAATCCCATGTTTCGATTTCTCAGCTTTTCAATACTTCAAATTTGGGAATTTTTCCATTGTTGGATTTTAAAATTTTTCGACTTCTCTACTTTTCGATTTTTCGATGTTTCAATGGTTCAATTTTCAGATTTCGAATTTTTTTAATTTCGATTTTTCAATTTTAGACTTTCCGATTTTCCACTTTCGATATTTCGATTCTTGGATTTTAAGACTTTTGAACTTGGGTTTTCGTTTCATCGGATTTTGGATTTTTCGAAACTTGTTTTTTTAAATTTTCGTTTTTTCAATTTTTCCATTCTTCAATTTTTAGACTTCTCAATTTTTTTTACCTTCCGATTTTTGATTTTTCAAATTTTCAATACAAATGTTCGGGTTTTTGATTTTTCATTTTTTTTAATTTTCGAATTTTCAATTCAAATCTTCGGCTTTTTGAATTTTCATTTTTTTTAATTTCCGAATTTTCAATTTTCGAATTTTTTGACTTCAAGGAAGATTTTTCAATTTATCCGATTTTCGATCTCTCGATTTTTCGATTCTTCCATTTCTCGATTTCTCGTTTTTTAATTCATCAGTTTTTTGATTTCCATTTCTTCGATTTTTCAATTTTTCGATTTCTCGGTTTTTCGATTTTTCCATTCTTGGATTTTTTTTTTTAATTTCATTTTTCGACTTTCGATATTCCTTTTTTCCATATTTCCATTCTTGGATTTTTTGAATTCTCGATGTTTCAATTTTTCAATACTTCGATGTTTCGATTACCAATTCTCGGTTTTTCGACTTTTCGGTTTATCGAGTTCTCAAATTTTCAATTTTCGAAATTTAGAGTGTTCCGTTTTCCTATTTTTCGAAGTTTCAACTCTCATATTTCGATTTTTCTATTTTTCCATTCTTCAATTTTTAGACTTCTCAATTTTTTTACTTTCGAATTTTCAATTTTTCCTTTCTTGAGTTTTTCAATTTCTCAATTATCTTCCTTTTCGATATTTTGATTTCTCGAGCTTCAATTTTTCAAATTTTCAAATCAAATCTTCGGCTTTTTGATTTTTCATTTTTTTTACTTCTCGATTTTTCAATTTTCGAATTTTTTGATTTTACGGAAGATTTTTCAATTTTTCCAATTTTCGATCTCTCGATTTTTCGAATCTTCCCTTTCTCGATTTCTCGGTTTTTAATTTATCAGTTTTTTGATTTCCAGTTCTTGGATTTTTCAATTTTTCGATTTCTCGGTTTTTCGATTTTTCCATTCATCGATTTTTTTTTTTAATTTCGACTTTTTGACTTTTCACATTTCTTTTTTCCATATTTCCATTCTTTGGATGATTTTTTGAATTCTCGATGTTTCAATTTTTCAATACTTCGATGTTTCGATTTTGATTTACCAATTTCTCGGTTTTTCGACTTTTCGGTTTATCGAGTTTTCAAATTTTCAATTTTCGAAATTTAGAGTGTTCCGTTTTCGTATTTTTCGAATTTTCAACTTTCATATTTCGATTTTTCAAATTTTTGATTTTTCGAATTTTCAATTTTTACCATCTTAAGTTTTTATAATTTTCGATTTCTCAAATTTTCAATTCACTTCTCGGTATTTTCATTTTTCGTTTTTTTACTGTTCGATTTTTTTATTTCTGGAGTTCTCGATTTTTTCAATTTTCGATTTTTTGGTTTTAGATTTTTCAGAGTAACTCTGTTGTTAATACGTACCGACTTTTACATTGTAGAAGTAAAACACAAAAACCACTAGATCAAATTTTAAAATTTTTAAAAGAAGTGGAATTTATTGGGCTTTACTTCAAAAGCGAGCAGAACCTTCTACCATTTTTTTTATATATATATAATAATAGTAATAATAATGATGTCCTTGACCTGGAGCACCTTCCCCATAGCGTTTCCCCCACCACTCACCTATGTATCAAATACGGATGAATAACCTCCGCGACGTCGTGCATCTGTATATACATGCACACCAACTGCGGAAGATAAAAGTCCACCTCGTGATTGTCGAAGCTAAACATCTTGTTCGCTATATAGCTCTGCACCCCCGGCTCCTTGCTCTTGAACAAATAGTGCATCGCCATGGAGACGTCGAACACCTTGCTCTCCAGTAGCCGCAGCATCCCGAAGCCCTTGGACGCGTCGCTGCTCCTCTCGCTGTCGTCGTCGGCGACGTCGGTCTCGACCGCCGCTTCGCCGCCCGCGTCCGAGTCGAGGCTCTCGCGGCTCTGGCGGCGCTCGTTCGACAGGTACTCCACGCTCGACTCCCTCGTCGCGTTGCTGTCGCTCGAGCCGCTGTCGCTGCCGCAGAGGATGCCCGAGTCGTCGGAGCCGAGGCTGGCGAGCTCGTCGCGCTGAGCCGTCTTCGAGGGGTCGGCCTGCAGCTGGTCGCCGGCCAGCATGGAGGTGACGGTCTCGCATTCGGGGCTGGGGGTCACGTCCACCTCGGGGATGCGTTGGAGCGCGGAGTCGAGGCTGCGGTTGCGGTGGTGCAGGGTGAGGTGGGTGCCGCTGGAAGACGTCACTTGGGCGACGGGGGGCAGGAGGATGCCCATCGATCTGGAAAGTCAGTTAATGATTTTTTGAGATGACGTCATTACGTTGCTGGAGGGGATGAATCAATACTATTTTGTGTAATTATGAGCCACTTTGGTGTATTTAAACCGGGAAATAATCGCTATCTCATCTCTGTGATAATCTGTATAATTTGATGACGCATACTAATTTTTTTAGCGTAAATTTATATATTGTATGTCGTTCTTTTTAAAGAAAATTAAAAATATGTAATGTAAATTAATGACTTTTCTGACAACTCGAATGGATTATCTCTTTTTTGTTTCATATTTTTAGAATCTATTTAATCATGAATGATTACATTTAATCAAACACTCGATCATATGTTATTTGTAGCTCAAATCTAAAGGGTTATCCATATTAATCAAACAATGGAAATCAATGCATAGATATATTTAAACAAATAAAATAATATATGACCATGTTTTTTGAAAACCAGCAACTTAAACAAATATTTAAATCTCGGAATCTCAATCTACCTTTTACGCACAAAATATATAGTCATAATACTTCGAGTTATTTTTTAATGTTTGTATCTAAAAATTTTGACGAATTTTCGAAAATCAGAAAAATCCAGAAATTTTCTAGTAAACTTCATAATATTTACGTGGATTGAATTCCAGAGCCTAGATCTTGAGCTGAAAAATTTAATTGTCGCTTTTTTTAAATAAACGAAATTTTGACTTAAAATTTTAGAAAACTTTACGATTTTTTAAAATCATCAAGCTTATCTTAAACTTCAAATTTAACAAATCTCACTCACTCACTCACAAAATAATAATAATCCTCGAATCATATCATAATCAGAATAAATTTATTTTTTGTTAACAGCAAAATAATAATAATTATCAATTTAAATCCAGTTGTTTTTGAAAAGTTTTTGTCTATAACTTAACGAGGTTTTTTTTTTCCATTGAAGACATTTTTGTAAAAATTTTGACCAATTTTTATTATCTTATTAAGAAGTATTTTTGTTGAATTTGGTCATTTTTTGTTGTATTTTTGTGAAATATTGTAATTCCTACTTGAATATCAAGTTTTATTTGAAGAAGAAACTTTCAAATGCAAAATTTTTCACGCACGTTTAAAAGTGTAGGGACAAAAGTGTCCAGACGAAGAAAAAAAGAAACATTTTTAATGATTTTTATTGCAGAATATTTTTGTTAATTTTATACAAAATCCTGACTTCCACTGTGTTTTTCGAAAATTTTGTTTCTCGAAAACCAGCAAATTAAACTAAATCTCGAATTTCCATTAAAAAAAATGACGAATTTTCGAAAATTAGAAAAATCAGATCAAGTTTTTGAGTCAACTATACTTCGGTATGATGGTTTTTTGGTCCTTTTTTTTTTAAATTGTCGGTTTTTTAATTTTTCAGTTTTTTGATTTTCATACTTTTCGATTTTTCAAAATTTTTCAGTTTTTTTTAAATTCAAATTTTTCAATTTCAATAATCCGATTTCTCGTTTTTTTGATTTTCCAAATACATATATTGATGTTTCAGTTTGCGGATTCTCAATTTTTCGATTTTTTAAATTTTAGATTTATCGATTCCTTCTGCAATTTTTCTTCATTTTTTAATATTTCAAATTTTCGACCTCTCGGTTTTTCGATTTCTGTTTTTTCGTGGCTCTTCAATTTTGGGAATTTCCTTCATTGATTTTTAGAGTTGTTGATTTCTCGACTCTCAACTTTTTGATTTCTCAAGTTTTCATTTTTCAAGATTTCGATTTTTCAAATTTTCGACTTTTCAATTTTTCAGTTTTTATATTTTTAATTTTTTTTTACTTTTCGATAACCGAATTTTCAATTTTTTTATTTTCCGATTTTCAGTTTTTCCATTTTTCATTTTTTCGATTTGCCAATTAGTTTACTATTCGATTATTTGACTTCTCGAATTTTCGATTTATTTTTGACTTTTAGACTTCTCAGTTTCTCAAAATTTCAATTCAATTCTCCAGTGTTTCGATTTTAATTTTTTTTTACTTTTCGATTTTTTTTCTATATTTCGATTCTTGGATTTTTCAAAATCTCGACCTTTGAATTTTTGACTTTTCGTTTTTAGATTTTCGAATTTTCGAAAGGACGAAAAATCAAGGAAGAAGTATCAAGGACGAAGGATAAAGGACGCACGATGAAGCGAAGAATCAAGGAGCAAGGAACAAGGGCCAATGACCAAGGATAAAGGACGAAGAATGAAGCGAAGAATCTAGGACGAAGGACGAAGGACCAAAGGACCACGAACCAAGGACAAATTATAAAGGACGAAAGATAAAGGACGAAAGATAAAGGACGAAAGATAAAGGACGAAAGATAAAGGACGGAGGATGAAGGGCAAAGAAAGGATAGAGGACGGAAGGATCTTTCGATTCTGGAAAAGTTTGACGATTTTTAGAAAATTACAAAAATCCACTTGATCAACTTTAGTAAAGTTTTTGAGTTAATAATAGTATGAGGCTTCTCTAATACAGTCATTTTGTGTTTTTTTTTATTAGTGTAAACATTTTGCACAATTTTTATTGACAAAATTAAGTTGTGTCTTTGCTCATCTTTTCAGCCTTTTGAGAGGTTATTTTGTTGAATTTAGCCAATCAAGCGTTTGTATTTTTGTAAAATATTATATTATCTTGTTAATTAGATTGTATTAAATAATAAAACCAGTTTTTCATTTTTACAAAATCTAAACTTTCACTGTGTTTTAGGAAAATTTTGTGTTTCTTGAAAACCGGCAAATTACACTTGGATCTCGATATAAATCGAATTTATACCCACAAATAATAAGTTTTTGAGTTCACTGTACTTGAGCTTTATTGATCCTTTCTTTCCTACTACTTTTCAATTATTGAACAATTTTTATCCATCAAAAATGTTGATGAACTTAAAATCTAAAAACTCCCGAATAATATATCGATAAAACCTCACTAGATCTTGTGAAGAAACAATTTAATTGTAGATTTTTTATTAAACAAATTAAAAAAAATAATAAAAATAATCCTCGGATCATTTAAAAAAAAAATGACAAATTTTGGAAAGACAGAAGAATTCACTTGGTTCTACTTTTAAGATTTTTAGTTAAGTTTGTGGTGTGAGGCTTTTTTACTACTGAAAAATTTAAATTTCTAGCAGATCCAGAAAACTAAAAATTTTGCAATTAAAAATAATTTTCCGAATTTTCGAATTTAGTCGATGAACTGTTTATATTTTGACAAGCAAAACATGAATCTTAGATCTTTCCATGGTTTTATCCACATGGTAATAGTAAAAGCATCCTTGAAATTATTTAAAAAAATTTTGAAAATTTTGACGGGTCAGTTTTCAACTTAGTTTTATCTCGTCATTTACCAATCAGTGCAAAATTTTGCCCGAACCCACAATTAACTTTGACATTAACGCGAATAACAAATGCACCTCTCTAGCTAAAATGAAATCAGCTCCAAATATATCTACGATAATTGCAATAACCTTAAACATGCACAGCGCAAATCCGCAACTTAGTTTCTCCGAAACGCCAGCTTTAATAAACCATTTCTCCGCTAACAATCACCATGATGTAACCAAACACCCCAAACCAGCAACATTTTGCTTAGTGAAACTCGGAAGATCCACCGTTATAAATATTAACAAGCCCAGACCCAACATCGCTCCAGCAACCTAGTTTGCTAATTTACTCAATCCTTCCTCACACAACACACCCATTCCAGCTTACAAATTACTCTCATTTGTTATCAAGCACCAAATTACTCGCTTTTTGACCTTTCCGCAACCCAAAAAACCTCCAGCTGTTCCACACCAGTGCGACATTTTTCCTTTCATAATACACACACGCAACTAGAACGCAACGATTACTCATAGCTAAAGAATTCCTCAATGCGAGTTATCTGTGGACAGCAATTATAATCTCCCTGACCCACGACATAGCTCAATTTACTAAATGGCTTCGATAGAGTGGATTATTATGAATGTAAGAGCTCTCCTCATCCATTCCTCATTGATGATTAATTCTCCGCGAGTGCAGAAACGTCCCTTCCGCCACTTCCTGTACCGCAATAATCATTCCAAGTACGTATTTCAGTTCCGAGGACGATTTTAAAATCTGTAGTTGGCGCGCATGTTTTTGTTTTCTTGATATGTCTCCAAAAAAATATGTTTAAAGTTAGTATTAATAAAAATCAAATTTGTTCTGTGCATAAAACTTGACCAAAATGTTTCGAAAAATATTCACTCATATTTAAAGTGATAAAAAAAAAAATTGGTATATTTAAGATTTGTTTGCGGACTCGTTTTTTTCGGTAACGTCATCATCCCGTCGCGCGCGCACCCACTAGTTTTCATTTCGCGCACAAATTTGAATTCGCTTTCTCGCTTCATTTACCTAAAATCTAAACTCAGGTTCCTCTGGTGATTGCTTAGTCGTATTTTGTTGTTCAGGTTGTTGTTGGGCCGTCCGTGCACCGACGGAACGCTGTCCTTGCAGCCCACGAACTTCGGCCGCTTCATATGGGCCACGCTCGGCTGTACTTCGCTCATCTTGTGCCTAAATTACGTCATTCCATCCTGTTCCTATTTCGCGTATCACAGTCTGTGGAGCTACCTGGAAAAAAATTCAATTTATTTGAGGATCGGAGGGTTTATGCATGATCGAAACACAAAACAACGATAAAACGAACGGGACAGATGTTTTTTTAAAAACATCTGCTACTGATTGAGATTTTTTGCAAGGGAGATTTTATGAGACGCGATGACTGCAGCAGTGTGCGATTCGGCCTTCGCCGAGATCTGAAAGTATAGTCGTAATCGCCTTAATTAAGAGAGTTAATTATTCGGCACATTTGTTATCGTGCTGTCTGGGCTTGATTTTAACAATCTTGAGAGATTTACGACATTTGGTGTGGTTTTGTCTTAATTTAATTAAATGTACAAAGCTTTTGTTATCTGTTTAGTATCCGACGTGACGCTCTGGGGAGGATGATAAGCACTGGTAAATGTGACGTCATATTTCCGAGTGATAGTTACAAATGAAATGATTTCTCTTACGTAGTTAATTATGCATTCCTTAATGATTCCTTGAAAGCACGTTTCATTGATTTTCTTGGGAAACCTTTCAACGTAGTATATACCGTAAACGCGGCCTAATGATATAGTATAAACGAGTTATTGTTATTGAAATACATATTTATAAAACTCGTTATTATCAAACAATTTCAAAACTACAATACGTTTCTATTTAAACTTATCTATGTATGACTTTTCGAATGCAGAAGCTACCGTTATCTGAAAGGACCAAAATTTTGTTGCTTTTGTGATACCAAACGAAGTCATCGTCCACAAGAGATTAGAGAACAAATCTCACATGCGCAGATACTTTTTCCCAACTAAACTGATTTTATTTTTCAACTTTCCATGACAATTTTGGAAGTACTTCAATTTTAAGCGTTATTTTGTAACAGTTGTAAATATACTTATCTACGAAATTAATGTTGATTGTGTGTAAATAAATTGAAGACAAACTTTTTCCATTATCGTTTTGTCCTCTTCCTTTTACTTTGTTTTTTAATGGCGTTTTTTACGCAAAGTATTTTTGATATTTTTTGCTGTTAATAATTGACTCTTATTATTTACAGTATACTTCCGCTGCTTTTTTTTGTTGGCTATATTGATTTATGGAAGTTAACTGTATCATTAGCAAGGGCACCCGACGTGTTTCTGGTGTTTGAAGATCCCTAATCTATGTGGAGTTTTTCACTTTAATTATGTACCGCTTTGTAATATCCTAATATCATTTATGAATGTTGTGAATAACACCGGGCTTGCAATGCCTCCTTGACGTAACCCTTTAGTTTTCACTGTTTTTTTTGTGATCTAGTTATCGCTGACCAAATTACGTTATAAATATAAATACAGACCACTTCAAAAGGAGAATTTAATTTTCAAATATGTATTCGGATTTTTTTTTGTAAATTTCCAAAATATCAGAACAAGGTAAGAATAGCACAGAGATCTCACCAAAGGAAATAATCAGCAGTCACGAGATACCAGAACATGCTGCAAGAATTTATTGACCACTCGATCTTGAAGAATTGCAGAATAGTACATATTTTCAGCATGACGGTGCAACAGCTCATACAGATCAAGTAAGTTTCAACTTTCCCACACAAACCATCTACCCACCTCGATCACCTGATTTAACACCTCTAGGTTATTTCTTGTTCCCGATTTTGAAAAACACTATTTTGAACAATCAATAGATACAACTGAAGACCTACAAGTGAGAATCATACAAGAGAATGAAAATTTTTCGGTTTCGCGATTTTTAATTTTTCGACTTTACAATGTTTTAGTCTTTAGATATTTTAATTTATCGATATTTCAATTTTCCATTCTTTTGAAGTTTTAGGTCTTTCAATTTTACAATTTTTCAGCTTCTCAACTTTTTAATTTCACGATGACTACATTTTTAGTTTTTCAGTTTGGTTTAGTTTTAGATTTTTCATTTTGAAATACATATTTTAATTTTTCGATTAGTAATTTTTACGTTTTTTCAATTATTCGAGTTGCAATTTTTCAACTTTACAATGTTTCAATTTTTAGATGCATATTTTTATTTATCGATATTTCAATTTTTCGTTTCTATAATTCATCATTGTTTCAATTGTTAGATACTTGATTAAAACTATTTTTATTTTACGATATTTCGGTTTTACAATTACGTTTTTTCAATTTTACCCTTTTTCGATTTCCTGCTTCTCGATTCTTTATTATTGATTTTTCGCTTCCTCAATTTTTAGATACAAATTTGAATTCCGATATTTCAACGTTTCGTTTCTACAATTCTTCATTGATTCGATTTTTAGATTCTTCTATTTGTCATTTATCTAATTTTTACATTTTTCAATTTTTCAGTTTTTCCGTTTTTCAATTTTTGATTTTACGTTTCCCCATTTTAGATTTTTCAATTTTTACACACCTATTTTAATCTTTGGTGTTGTCAAATTTTCGATTTTTCTGTTTATCGAATTTTAATTTTGCGATTTTTCAATTTTTCGATTCCTCAATGTTTCAGTTTGCAATTTTTCCATTTTATGATTTTTCGAATTTTCAATTTTTCGGTTTCACAATTTCGTTTCTTCAATTTTTCGATTTGTAATTTTTCGTCAAACAGACGCAATTTTTCAGTTTCTCAATTTTTAATTTATTGATTTATCCATTTTTAGATGTTTTAATTTTTCGTATTGTCAATTTTCAGCTCTTCAATTTTTGCTTATTCAAGTTTTCGATTTTTCAAATCTTCGTTTAATCTTTGTTTTCCAATTTTACAGTTTCTCGATTAATTATTTATCGATTTTTCGTTTCTACAATTCTTCATTGCTTCAATTTTTCGTTTTTCAATTTTTTATTTATCTAATTTTTAGATTTTTCAATTTTTTATTTTAATTTTTTGCGTTTTCAAATTTTCGATTTTTCTGTTTCTCGAATTTTGATTTTGCGATTTTTCCATTTTATGATTTTTCGAATTTTCAATTTTTCGGTTGCACAATTTAGTTTCTTCGATTTTTCGATCTTTCAATTTTTCGTTTATACAATTTTTTGTTTATTTGGTTGTTCATTTCTACAATTTTTCAGTTTCACAATTTTTAATTTATCGATTTAGCCATTTTTTGGTACTTTAATATTTTGTGTTTTCAATTTTTCAGTTTCTCGAGTTTTAATTTTTCGATTTTTCAATTTTTCAACGTTGCAATTTTTTGATTTACAATATTTCCATTTTTCAATTCTGCGCTTTATAATTTTCAAATCTTCCTTTAATAATTTTTTTTAATTTTACAGTTTCTCGATTCTTTCTTTGGTGTTTTCAAATTTTCGATTTTTCTGTTTCTCGAATTTTAATTCTTCGATCTTTCAATTTTTCAATTTGTAATTTTTCGCCAGACGAAATTTTTCAGTTTCTCAATTTTTAATTTATTGATTTATCCATTTTTAGATGTTTTAATTTTTCGTATTTTCAATTTTCATCTCTTCAATTTTTGCTTGTTCAAGTTTTCGATTTTTCAAATCTTCGTTTAACCTTTTTTTTACAATTTTACAGTTTCTCGATTAATTATTTATAGATTTTTCGTTTCTACAATTCTTCATTGCTTCAATTTTTCGTTTTTCAATTTTTTATTTATCTAATTTTTAGATTTTTCAATTTTTGATTTTACGTTTCCCCATTTTTAGATTTTTCAATTTTTACACACCTATTTTAATTTTTGGTGTTTTCAAATTTTCGATTTTCCTGCTTCCCGAATTTTTATTTTGCGATTTTTCAATTTTATGATTTTTCGAATTTTCAATTTTTCGGTTTCACAATTTCGTTTCTTCGATTTTTCGATTTTTCAATTTTTCGTTTATACAATTTGTTGTCTCTTTGGTTGTTCATTTCTACAATTTTACAGTTTCACAATTTTTAATTTATCGATTTAGCCATTTTTTGATACTTTAATATCTGGGTTTTCAATTTTTCAGTTTCTCGAGTTTTAATTTTTCGATTTTTCAATTTTTCAAATCTGCAATTTTTTGATTTACAATATTTCCATTTTTCAATTCTGCGCTTTACAATTTTCAAATCTTCGTTTAATCATTTTTTTTAATTTTACAGTTTCTCGATTTTTTCTTTGGTGTTTTCAAATTTTCGATTTTTCTGTTTCTCGAATTTTAATTCTTCAATCTTTCAATTTTTCAATTTGTAATTTTTCGTCAGACGAAATTTTTCGGTTTCTCAATTTTTAATTTATTGATTTATCCATTTTTAGATGTTTTAATTTTTCGTATTTTCAATTTTCATCTCTTCAATTCTTGCTTGTTCAAGTTTTCGATTTTTCAAATCTTCGTTTAATCGTTGTTTTCCAATTTTACAGTTTCTCGATCATTTATTTATCGATTTTTCGTTTCTACAATTCTTCATTGCTTCAATTTTGCGTCTCTTCAATTTTTTATTTATCTAATTTTTAGATTTTTCAATTTTTCAGTTTCTCAATTTTTGATTTTACGTTTCCCCATTTTTAGATTTTTCAATTTTTACACACCTATTTTAATTTTTGGTGTTTTCAAATTTTAGATTTTTCTGTTTCCCGAATTTTGATTTTGCGATTTTTCCATTTTATGATTTTTCGAATTTTCAATTTTTCGGTTTCACAATTATGTTTCTTCGATTTTTCGATCTTTTAATTTTTCGTTTATACAATTTTTTGTCTCTTTGGTTTTTCATTTCTACAAGTTTTCAGTTTCACAATTTTTAATTTATAGATTTAGCCATTTTTGGATATTTTAATATTTAGTGTTTTCAATATTTTCATTTTTCAATTCTGCGCTTTACAATGTTCAAATCTTCGTTTAATCATTTTTTTTATTTTACAGTTTCTCGATTCTTTCTTTGGTGTTTTCAAATTTTCGATTTTTCTGTTTCTCGAATGTTAATTCTTCGATCTTTCAATTTTTCAATTTGTAATTTTTCGTCAGACGAAAATTTTCAGTTTCTCAATTTTTAATTTATTGATTTATCCATTTTTAGATGTTTTAATTTTTCGTATTTTCAATTTTCATCTCTTCAATGTT